CTCGACGAGGCGCTGGATGCTGTGACATTTCAAAATTCTGTGCCACTCTAATGGCGCACTGGATAACGAGGAACATGGCTCAGGCGAGTAACATCAAAGACCAATCAGAAAGATCAGACGTGCCCGATGTCATACGCTAACTGATACAATTGGCTGTGTTTGATGTCAACGCTAATAGCGTGATTCGACAGCAGGCCTCCAGAAGCATTTGCGCGTGTGCACGAACACACTCCTAAATGCAATCATTTAAGACAATTTGAAATCTTCATTCGTGTTTGCTTCTGATAGTTAGAAGGGAAGCTTTGGAACCGATAGGGCTTCTAGCAACAAATGGAACTGAATGTTTGCTGTAAGTTAACCTAGTGATTTTAAATCGTCCATTAAAAAACGCTTTTTTAATCAGAGCAAGAGTTTTTAGAGAAATATAGCCAACCGATGCAACTATAATAATTTTCCGCTTAGCGCAAAGTCAGTGAAAGAACGTTGTCAATAGCCTATTTTAAGGATAATATTGCCACCACCGTGCATTATTACATAACCCAGCATATAGGGGAATATTAGCCTCCCATTCTTAATGCCCTAATGTTTGATCACAGTGAGGATTAAAATCTATGCCGAAGCCTTCAGTGGAGACGTACATGCAATTGCAAGGTACAAAGTGTAGGGCGGTGATTAATTTTCTGCAAGCTGCTGCTCAAATCAGCCCAATGTTAAGCTGTGAATAGCTATAAGGTTCCATTAGAAGCTGTCACGGCTAAAGAAACTGAAAAATGGAGACGGGCACAGTTAGGTCAGTCTTGAACGTTGAAAGTGGAACATAACATAACTTTACCCATTCACATACCAAAGCATTTGCTTCGTCATCATACGTTCTAACGCTAATAATTGACCATTATCATGGAAACAACCGGTGCAAATGTCCCCTGATAAAGCAGTCTTCAACCCTTGCATGACCAAATTAACACTGAATGTCAAGGCTTCTGCTTTGCTCTGTCAAGAGATTAAGCATGATCCACAGTTTAACAGATTGCGTTTAGAGGAAGAACATGAGGCGGTAGTTGACCGTGAGACGTCGTTATTTGTCAATATAGACCCTGAATTCCTAAATGATGAAGCATTCGATATGTAGAATTTTCTTGGGGCATGGTTCATGGAGGCGGTTTCCTACGTTGCATTCAAGCCATCCTAGGTTTTACGGTAGGCACCTTCTCCACCCACCAGGACAGCAAATTTACGAGAGTCCATTCGCCACTGAAATCTTCACTGATGTTTATGATGTCTTAATTAAGGCTCACCTATACCCATATTTACTACTTACATGTTGTGTCATTAAGACGTTTTTTTGGGTTGGATCGCGCCATGAATGGTTTTGAACAAGGATGCTTCTTCCATTTATTCCGTTCCGCTGCACATCAGTTGATTTTGAGTCTAATTATTTTCAGCCCATCAATGCAGACGCTTTTCACAAAAGGATTGAAGATAGCCGATGCAGAAGAGATGCCCGTTAAAGGTCAACGATAAAACTCCGATTTAAAGCTTCTTAATAATTACTTGAACGGTAATGCCAAAGTGGAATTGTTAAAGATGCCACGATAGGCATATTCGCGTGAAATGTCACAAGTATCACAGTCCTCCATATGTTGGTCTGACTTCGTTCAGTAACACTGCCTAGATTCTAATACAAAGATTTAAATTTAAAAGATAACTTTATGCACATTAATTTGCCCATACGATTTTAGAATGTAACACTTTGGTTGTGTCTGCAATCTGGCCCTAAGAACTATTTTAAATTTGGTGGCAGTACGGCATG